CCACATTGACGTGTTATTCCCATGAAAGTTTCATTGGAAGACCGGTATCTAGACAGATATGCATCAGTTACCATAAACACTCAAATATATCATTGATATTTTCGATAGTTTATACTCTTTCAATAGGTGGGGACCGCAAAAATAGTCCAAAATACAGTATAAACTTCTATTGGGTGTATATTTTTAACAACATAGTGAAGGAAAGTTATTTTTTGCGATTTTTACTGTCCACAAAACTGCTTGAAAAAATTTTAGCCATATCAATATCGAATGAAAAGAAAGGACCGTTGTTAGAAAGGAAATTTATTAATATATCTCTTCAAACAAAGATAGAATTAGATCGAATTAAAAATCAAGAGTGGATAGCTGATATCGGTAGGCATTTTAATTTAAATGAGTCAACTATTCGGTCGATTAAGCAATAGGAAGAAAAGATTAGGAATTCAGTCGCATCCGGATCATCTATTCTTGTGAAAATTGCTGCTCGTCCGAGAGCACCTATAATGAAAAAAAAAAAAAATGGAACAAGTGCTAATATTACGGGTAGATATGAACAAGAAACGGTTGCCTTTAAATAAAAGTGCAGTTAAACACAAAGCCTTAAAAATATTTGATTATTTAAAACAAATGGGACAGTCGTCGGCTGATGAAACCAGTGTTAAATTCGTGGCTAGCAATGGCTGGTTTGAAAAATTCAAAAAACGCCATTCAAACGTCAAGTTTTTCTCTGTTTAGAACCGAATCCCAATTTTTGTATTAAGTTGGTGTCTCCTATAACGCGATTTCCCACAACGCGGCATTTTCAAGGAACGTATCTACCGCGTTGTAGGACGCCTACCTGTATAACTATTGGTCTAATTATCGTGTAGGAATAGGAATACCAAACTTCATTTAAAAATCATTTTTGTTTCTTATATATAAATAAATGGGATTTTTATACAAACCATTTTAACTGAACAGCATATAGTCTTAATAAATACGATCGACGGCCATAATCGCTGACGTACAACGTGCAACTACTGCACCCTAGTGTCAATTGCTTGCAGGATTTCTATAATAAAACATTTTTTAATCTTGATTTTTGAAAAGATCTTGTTTACGCAAAATTATTATTATTATTATTATTCATATATTAATTTATATTTCTTATATAAGCGTTTAATAATATCCTGTAGTTGTCATGAGCCTGTGCTTTATTATGATTGATTTATTTGTCAATGCAAAGCATTAACAATGTCAGAGTCGGTAGTTAATCTACCGACTCTGACAATGTCAACTAGGGCGAGTTCAATAAATAAGCGGCTAAGTAAGCAAACAATGGCATAATCCGTTTCATATGAAACGAACTACATCATTGATTTGCTTACTTAGCTGCTTGTTTCTTGAACTCGTCCCTGGACTTGATGGTTGACACAAATAATGCGTCAGCCTACGAGTTCTGAGGATCCGAGATCGAATCCGGATCATCTCTGGGAAATTCCGGGGATGGTTTATTCGGAATATGTCGGGCCCTGTTCCTCACCAACCAGCCGCTCCTTTGGAAGCCTGGCCGAAATTATACTGAACTAGAAAAAAGGCTTATTAGCAGTGCATTTTTTATGTTCTGTGCACGATTTCATTTTTGACTCTCTCTTTTCGGAAAAAATATATTAAAAACAAATGTGCTAAAAATGCTCGGTTATTTTTTTAACTTTAACCAAAAACATTACGGAATCGGCGCCCCATGGCGGCAAAATCTAACATTTGAGAATAATCTGGGGCATGTGTCTGTGTACCCATTGCACCTGCCTAGTTATGGCACTGCCTATTATTGACTGTCTAGTGAAGAGTTAAAAAAAAGCACCAATAAATTAAGGCTATATGCCGGCTTTAATTTCATGTTTTATAAACAGGTCAATCAGACCTGTTTATAAAACATGAAATTACAGTGAAATCACAGTGATGTCTACCACAGTGACGTACCGTGGGTGTCAGCCGCCCGGGGCGGAGGAAAATTTCGGCCCTTCTATTTAGGTATTTCAATTTAAAACACCAAAATTCAGTTTTGTGACAGAACAAGCAATGAAAAATTCGGTGGTGGTAGTGCAGTGACCTGTTTAAAATAGTTCTATTGGATATTAGTGGTGTATATGAACGCGAATGAATCGTACAAGCAAAAAGAAAAAAAAAGGTCAACAGGTTTCGCAGGATTTCCTTGGATGAAAAAGTTACTAGTTCACCCGGCGAGCCGATTCCCGGACTGTCCGGACGATAACACTATCGTAGGCGCGATGAAACTATAGATTAGGATGTTTCAAATTTTTACAAGATATTATTATTTATTGTGAAATTTTTCCGCCCCACTACGTTACGCTACTGGTCTACCAGTATGGATGAGGGGTGAGTAATGAGAAATAATGTCTTGATCTGTACCATTACGGAGATTCCCACCTCAACAGATTATTCAGCTATTAAATAAAGCATATCAATCTCATTGCGCAGCCAAAATCATGACAAGAAACATGAAAAATCGTATTAAATTTGCTGTAAGATGATATAGCCTATGTACACACAATGAAATTACTAAATACCTGTATAGTTAAGTTAATTGCGATCACCCGGTATATAAATTCTAAAGTACCACTATTCAATACTGTCTACAGATATTTATTTTAACAGTCCAAGTTCAACCAAATTTGGTATGACGATATTTCAAGACGTATGGAAGGCATTTTTGTAAAGAAAAAATGAGTACCAAAACTGACGGTTTTATAGCTAATAAGGATGACATTCAACACTTGTCATGTTTATTTTTAGATTTTATTAAATAAATAATGTGAGATTATTAAAAGTAAATAAACAAAATTTAATAAGCAGAAAATAGTTTTTTAGTTTTACTATTATTATTATTTTTTTATTTTTATTATTGAAAATAAATATATATATGTTGACTCATAAGCAATAAAAATTTTCTAAGTTTAAAACTTAAAATCTTATTATGTTCAACAGAAGAAATGCAGAAAAATTAATACTTCTGAATATTAAAAAAATTCCAGCAACTCGTTGCTTAACTTTCCTGACATTTGGTGGCGCCATGATATTAAAACGTTTTATACTTTTATTATAAAATGGCAAAAAAATATAAAAAAAAAACTTAATTTTGAGAATAAAGATGGGTTTCATAAAAATTGTAAATGCTAATAGCGAGTAAAATCGTCATTAAGTCCGACCCTACTCGAGATATGATACAACCCTACTTTAGCTCCCCACCCCTTCGACCTTTACCACCAAAATTTAATAGCACCTAATACACAAACCGCCTTGCAAAATTTCAGAAATTTTCGACAAAAAGCATAGGAGTTATTAATTAAGCTTAAACAGGGTGAACAAAATCGTACCCCCACACAAACATATAAACATCCATACATATAGAAACTCCCACGAATTTTTTTCGCATTTCTCAACGTTTTAAGGTTTCCTACGTCCAAAACTGTAAAAATCTTGGGGATCATTTTTTGACTGATTGCTATACTTTCCCTCTGTTATATATAACAGCCAGGACAGTAGTATTTAAATCTGTTAAATGTTTACAAATGTTAAAGTTGGTAGCAGACAAACAATACTGGATGACTTATTAGTATTAATAATCCATCTGGTATTGTTTGTTTGCTATACTGTAGTAATTATAATTATTTTTTTTTAGTCTTTCCACTCAATGGGCATTAAGATGGCCTTTTTTTATATCCATTGTAGGTTTGGCCAGGCCACAAAGGGCAGTCAAATAATGAAAGCTTGATCACCTTCCAAAAAAAATTTCCTGAAATTTTTCAATCATCTAGATTTGATCCCAAGTTCCCAGAGAGGTAGGATGACAAATAAATTTAAGCTGAAGAGGTTTGCTTTTATCTGAAGATGATGATAACTGCTTCAGTTATCATCATCTTCAGATAAAAGCAAACCTCTTCAGCTTCCAGCAAAGTAGAATACAGAGCAATTTGCAAGCATTTTTAGAATCAGGTGGATTCTGAGAGTGTTTATGAATTGCCCTGTATTTTTTTGCTGGAAACAAAAGAAGTTTGCTGTTATCTGAAGATATTAGGTGTATCAGTATCAGTAAAGTATTTTTATTATTAATTAATATATGAATAAAATAAAGATTAAATTTAAAAAATTAACATTTCAACAATGGACTAGTAAGGTATGGTACTACCTCCAGTAGTGGAGAATAGACGTAGGAAATTTTTAAAGTATTTTTCCACGCATTTTTTCTCATTACCGTTTCAGAAAAAGACTTTGTAAACAGTTATGTCTAGTAAAGAAAAGTCTTTTTTTATTGTTACATAATTCATATTTTAGGTGAATTTTTTTCACGGTAGTTTTTTGCAATACCCCAAAAGAATTTGATGTATATATACATCCCTCACCACTGCCACATATACGTCCCTAACTGCTGAGTGGTTAAGGATGAAATATATTTTTAAAAATTATGATATTATAGATTAAATACAAAAATTTTGAAATCTTCCACTAACAGAGTCAAACTTTCTTTATAGGCTCTTCTCAAACTATACTTATGCAAATTGTTTAAAAGTTCCTATAACACCAGACATTTTATTCCAAAAAAAAATTTACAAGTATTTGATGTCAGAGGAACTTTTAAACAATTTGCATTAGTATAGGTTGAGAATAATCTATAAAGAAAAGTCAACTCCATTAGTGTTAACTGTGTTCTGATGATTGTGAATGATTGACCTAAACTTAGTTAAACTTTTGTATTTAGGCTTCAATATTGTAATTTTTTAATACATAAATGTTCAAATTATGCATTTTTTAATTCTTTTAATATATCATATCCTTTTAATGTTAGTGAAACCAAGATTTTGTCTAAATGTAGTCTTATTTACTCACTCTGTTTAATGTTATCAGTTTTCTCATTGTAAATACTAAGATTTGCATAGAGTCTATTGTATTTATTGAAATATATGTATAAACCAGCAAATATCCAAATTCAGGTTAAAATGTTTCTTTAAATAAATTTTATTTTATTAGCATATAATTTTAAAATTTTACAAATTTTATATTTTTATTCATTTAGATCCCATAATGGAAAATTTAACTGCTGTTCTAACCATTTTGCGATTATTAACAACTTCTTCTCTTGAAAAGACTGTCCTATTATCTGCAAACTTAATGGAAGACCTTTGTTTGAAAATCCACAGGGTAAACTAACTGCAGGAATACCTACAACAAATAATTCAAATTAACTCACATTGCTTTAATATTAATTACAAATTTTAATAATTACCATTTAAAAGACATAGCTCTACTAAAACATATTCTAAAAATTAAAATATTTTAATTTATTAAAAATTCATTAAAAATATAATCAAGCAAAGCTATATAATTCATTATATTTTAAATACATATAAAAATATTTCTACTTGATTTTATAAAACTTAACATATCAATTTGCTTTAATGTGATTAATAAAATAGTATTTAAATTAAAATAAATTAAAAAAAACTGTATTATGCAACCAAAAATAAAAGCACCCCATGCTTTTATTTTTGGTCGTGTAATACCAAAAACACTGTGAAAGCTGAAGAAAATTTATTTTTTACTTTTTAGTACATTTATCTGAATAAAAAACATTACTTTAAAATGTTTTTTTATATATTTCTTTTATTTTCTACTTTTTAGTTATACTATATGTAAGTAATGTATGAACTATTGAATTCTTCTTAATTTAGCATTTAATATTATGTATATCGTTCTCTGTGAGATTGGTTTCAATTCAAAACAAGCTTTAAGTTATTTAAATTTGATATAGTGAGTGATTAGTCCTCTCAATTACTAATAACCCAAATATTTCCCACTTTATATTATTTTATTGTCTTAAGGTAAAAACAAGTTATTACTTTTTCTTGTCTCTAAAAATTTTACCTTTTAAAATATAAAAAGAAAATTAATTTATAATAAAGATGGAACAAAAAAAACTTACAAAGATAATATTTCTTATATCTATTGAAATTTTACTATATATCTAATACATTAATTTTAAAGAAATAACAATTTGTTAAAGATATATTGTCATATATTAGGTTTATATGCAATTTTTAAATAATAAACAGACTTCTGTTGTAACAGGAGGATCACTTGATTCTTTGTCTTCACTTTTGTTTCCATGCATAGAAAGGGAAATAACAGTCATGTGTTATAGTGCCATCTCTTATCAGATTTTATTTACAAATTTTAATTATTCACTATTTTTTGTTAATTGTTAAAAATGTTTGCAAACTATTAAAAAATGTACTGTCATTGGTAATACATGTGTGCAAAGTTTCAACTAGATCAAAAATTGGGAAGTAGATGAATTGCAACTTTTTACCTGGACAGACAGCCAAAGTAAGTTAATAAAAAGCTATGTGTATATAAATTCACTTTAATCCAAAAAAATTTTATTGATTTTCTCACAGCAACTTCAGTTAGGTAATTTAAGACTTTATTGTATACATTTAACACAGGATATGCATATGCATTTCGGGTTGTTGTAATTTCACAACTCCTCCTCAGTGCTGATGTTTTTAGAGAGAAAATAACATAAAAACTGCATTTTCACATTTGGGTTTTTCCATAAATACACACAAAAAGTTTTCTAAATGTACATCCAGTTTTATATATTTACTGGGTTCTCATTTGTTATAAAGATGATGATGACTACACACTAGTTTTTTTTCAGTTAAAGTAAATTGATATTATGCCTGTTAGTATATAGGCTTCCAAACATATCATATACATTAATTTTTATCAATAGTATATAAAACCTTAGCTATTACAGTCTAATAGTATGGAGGTTTTATGTTATTTTCTCTCTTAATAGAACACTTACATGCAGTGGCGTTACAGGAGTGGAGTTCCAGATACGGAAATTTATCTGACTTTTGGAGAAAGGTTTTTTCCGCTAGCACTTTCAGTAGTGTAAAACTACCATCATGAGGCAGTACATAGAATTTGATAGTTTAGGCTTTCCAAAAGATATTCCGACGGTTTTTTAAATTTCAATATTGAATATTTCGAACGATATTTCCAACAGTTCAGCTGATTATGGTTTTCGAATATTATTTAAAGGTTCTTATGTCATAGTGCGTAGAAATGATGATAAATAAATATTAAAGTGAGAGATGTCTGTAAAAAGACATAGTTCACGCATGTATGCGCACCAAGGCAAAATAAGCCTATGAGCAATGAAGGAGTATTTTTATCTTGGGTTGAGTTGTTTGAAAGCTGTTATCCAAATTTGTGGGAGCTCGAGAGTTGGGGAGTTGCATGGTATGGTAGTAGAAATGTAGAGTGTCTCCCAAATAAATAGCTGTTTTTGTTTGTTGCAGCGTTTTAGTAATTTTATTTTGTTCCAGAGAGGCTGGTAGTTGTGGTCAAGTACTTTCTTTGCTAATTCTGTGACTGGCCTATTATTTTTGATGTCTTCTTGATGTTCATGGATACGTGAACTTAATTTTCTAGCAGTAGCTCCTACACAGGGGTGGACTGGCCACGTGGAAAATGTGGAAAATTCCACATGGGCCGTATACAATTTGGGCCGTTTTTTTTCTAAATATGTACATAATGTACCGTTTGGTTAAGTTTAATTTTAAAAAATTCATTTATTTTTTTTGTTAAGTAAGGTAAATTTCAATTTTTAGATATAACATAGGTACAGTATATGTGTAGGCAGTGCCGTAACTAGCCATTCCTGTGCCCTGTGCAAGAACTTGCATTTAAGCCCCTTAATTAATTAGGTTTGGAAAAATAATAAAACAAACACGTGCATTTTGGGACACTCTTCCAAATGGGCCCTGTGCGGGTGCACCAGTTGCACCTGCCTAGTTACGGCACTGTGCGTAGGCCTGTATCATTTTACCCGGCCCATATCCGAAGTTAAATTACTAATATATAAACGGCTTGCTGTATATTATATTACAAATGTAAATTCGTCTCTGTAATCCAAAAACACACTTTGGTAGACGTATCTTACAGCAATTCTAACAGTAAAGATACGTCTACCAAAGTGTGTTTTTGGATTACAGAGACGAATTTACATTTGGAAGTTAAATTAGTTCGGCCGATCTGAGTCAAACACTACATTAGCCCGATTCGATCCAAACAGAAAGCATCCTAGGAGAAAAATAATCAAAACTACCTTCTAAACAGAGAAAATTGGTGATTTGTTTACATTGCTAGAAACTGTTCACCACTCCTATGAATCTTAATGCTAAACTATAGAAATGCAAGTTATTAGTTTTGTACCTAGCCACTAAAACAATGATTGTAGTCATAACAAATTTAATGGCCACTTATATTACTTCCTTTATTTTAGACAAGTAAAAAATGTTATTCAATAATAATTTCTCTGTATTCCAAACGATTTAATTAAAAATAATGTATTTTGTAGTGTGGGGCCGAGACCTCACCCCCTCTCCAATGGGAAACTGGTTATCGAGCTAAAGCTAATAAATCGAGGATTTATTTCATAAACAGGAACGAGTGTAAGACGATTTAATTGTCACATTACCGGACCAAATTCACACGTCCTCGATCTAGATCAGGGAAGGTGGGAGAGAGAGCAACCGCAGAGAGTTCGACTGTCATCTTACAGCGAGTTCAAAGCACATTAGACCGAAATTTACAGGACCATTTCAAAAATTAAGCAGTATTTTAACACAGTTTAATCCACTAGCTACTCAACACAATATTATTTCAAAATTGCAACATTTTAAATCGTCATGGAATATTTTAAAGGAAAATGTCAATGAAACTTTTATAAAATTAAACAAAAATGAACATTCTACTGATGATCAAGTAGAAACTAATAAAGATGCTATTTTATCCTCTTACTGCATTGCTTGCAAAAATTGCTCTATTTGTTGTTATATTGTAATATATTATTCAGATATAACGTGTTAAGTGGCGCTTATTCTATACTTGGTCAAGCATACAAATGTCTGCTATCTATGTCTGTAACACAAGTGTCGGTGAACAAAGCTTTTCTACGTTAAAATTAATTAAAAGCGGGCTAAGATACTTATAAGTATCTCGCAAGAAAATCTAGAAGCCTTCATGTTAATGTTAGTGGAGAAAGATTTTTTAAACGAAATACATTCTGATGATGTCATTAATATTATTGCTCAACAAAGCAAACTTCTAAATAAAAAATTAATATTGTAGAATATAAACTTGTGCTTATTGTAATTTTTGTCAATGTTGTATTTTGAATATATTTAAATAGAAATAGAAAAAAATACATTTTTTTTATTTGTGGGCTGGGCTGGTAATAAATTTTCCACACAAAAATTTTTGGGCCAGTCTGCCCCTGCTCCTACATAATTAATCTCTTCACTAGTTAGTGTGTGCTTTAGCAGGATTTGGTAGATACCGGATTTTTGATTCAACTGGTACTTATTCCTATCATTACATAGCAGTCTTCTTAGATTTGGTTGCAGTGTAATTGGTAGAATATAACCATTACTTCTAAAAAGATGTGCAATTTTTAAGGAGATAGGGCCTAAGTAGGGTATTGGGGGGTGCGCTATTTTTAAGTTTTCTTTATTGGAAAGAAAACATTGTGGAAATAAACTGTTTTTTACACGATTTTTCTATTTATCCTACAATTAATTTTACTGTTGAAAAGCAAGAAAATAATAGAATATCTTTCCTGGACTTAGATATACATACATCTCCAGAGCTTATATTTTCTGTCCATCATCATAATAATAATTCTCCACAATCATTCCAGCCGCCACCTACCAACCACCACATTACAAAAACTCGGCTATATCTTCGCTAATACGGAGGGCTTACCTTCTCCCTTCTACTCAGGTGCTAGTAGAAAATGAATTATCCATTATTCAGTCTACCATGTTAAAAGCAGGTTATTCACATTCAAAATTCATTTCTCTAAAAAATCGTGTAAAAAACAGTTTATTTCCACAATGTTTTCTTTCCAATAAAGAAAACTTAAAAATAGCACACACCCCGATACCCTACTTAAGCCCTATCTCATTAAAAATTGCACATCTTTTTAGATGTAATGGTTAAATTCTACCAATTACACCGCAACCAAATCTAAGAAGACTGCTATGTAATGATATGGATAAGTACCAGTTGAATCAAAAATCCAGTATCTACCAAATCCTGCTAAAGCACACACTAACTGGTGAAGAGATTAATTATGTAGGAGCTACTGCTAGAAAATTAAGTTCACATATCCATGAACATCAAGAAGACATCAAAAATAATAGGCCAGTCACAGAATTAGCAAAGAAAGTACTTGACCACAACTACCAGCCTCTATGGAACAAAATAAAATTACTAAAATGCTGCAACAAACAAAAACAGCTATTTATTTGGGAGACACTCTACATTTCTACTACCATACCATGCAACTCCCCAACTCTCGAGCTCCCACAAATTTGGATAACAGCTTTCAAACAACTCAACCCAAGATAAAAATACTCCTTCATTGCTCATAGGCTTATTTTGCCTTGGTGCGCATACATGCGTGAACTATGTCTTTTTACAGACATCTCTCACTTTAATATTTATTTATCATCATTTCTACGCACTATGACATAAGAACCTTTAAATAATATTCGAAAACCATAATCAGCTGAACTGTTGGAAATATCGTTCGAAATATTCGATATTGAAATTTAAAAAACCGTCAGAATATCGTTTGGAAACCCTAAACTATCAAATTCTATGTACTGCCTCATGATGGTAGTTTTACACTACTGAAAGTGCTAGCGGAAAAAACCTTTCTCCAAAAGTCGGATAAATTTCCATATCTGGAACTCCACTCCTGTAACGCCACTGTGCATAAGTGTTCTATTAATAGTATATGTCGGTGTGAAGTGCAAACTTATTATATTTTCTCTCTAAAAACACTCAGCACTGAGGAGAGGTTGTGAAATTACAACCCAAAATGCATATATATAACCTTGTTAAATTTATACAATAAAATCTTAAATTACCTAACTGACGTTGCTGTGAGAACATTAACCAAATTTTTTTGGATTAAAGTGAATTTACATACATCTAGAATATACATCATCCATATTACTTAGCATAATAAAAAGCTTTAAAAATTAAAATCTTTACCTGCCATATTTACAGGCTGAGTACAAAAATCTTCAACAGAGACTTGTTCTCTGTTATCCTTAGTAATCCAATTTGAATATAATGGGGCATCAGTTAGAGTTACTGGTGTTAAGAGAAAATCTATTCCTTTCTTAAATATATTTTGAAAATCATTTAAAATTAATCTTCTTACTTTCATTGCTTGAACAAAATATTTTTCATAATTTCTAAAAAATACAAAAAAAATATTATGAACATTATCTTTTCCTTTAGTTTCCATATCTTACTGACAAGTATTCCCTTTAAATATAAGTTATATACAAAAACACTCCAACTTAAAACTAATAATAATAATATAAATTAAAATTAATTCATTTTAGTTTAAATTTGGAGTTATTGTATGTAAATATTATAAAATAATCATTTAGTATATCTTCAAGGAACATTCAAACGAAAAGATTTCAGTATCAGGCATCATCTTTTGTATGCATTTGCCAATGTTAATTTTTCAAATCTCAGGAATTTCCAAGACTAAATTATATTCATTACAAAATTTTTTTAGCTATATTTATTATTTTTCAAAACATTTTATTGCCATTTTGATGAATTCATGCAATTAATTAACAAACAATTTTTATTATTATTTTTACTTTTTTTTACTATTTTTAACACTGTCACATTACATTGTCAAAATTTGGTATCATTAATGATTTTACTACTAATAATTCATTTTTAATCAAAGTTTTTGAAGATATCAACTAGTTTTCACTATAGTCTCATATCTGTTTTAACCCCTCCAAAAGCATGTCCCATGTCTTCTTAGACAATAATGCCAAATAAATAGTAATAGAATTGATTTTAGTTTCAAAGTCTGATATTTTTTAGCAATTGAATTCATTGTCTCATCAAGCAATGTTTACAGACTTTTCAGCATTAAAAAATATAATTAAATAATGAACCAATAAGACTTAGTACCTTTCCATTTGAATATATCTTATACATAATTGATGTTATAATAAAAATTATTAATTTATTTAAATTTTAAAAATATATACAATTATTAAAAACAATAAAGGTTTGGGATGGAAAGTGAATTTGTAAGTGGAATTTGTAAGTGTAAGGAAAAAGAATTTGTAAGATTTACCAATTTGTAAGTGAATAGATTTAAAATTTCAGATTTTTATTTTTATTTGTTAAAATAACAATTTGAAATCTTCATTTGTATTTACTTTTATTTTTAACAAGTAAAACACCAAAGCCATTTTTGGGATAAGACTATGTCTTGGAGATTCAGGGCTTAACTGTGCACCATTTTCTAAGAAAAAGAGAAAAATGAGCACTAACCAATGAGGAAAAGCTGACATTGGTACTCGGAGTCCTGTGTAGATTATGGCAGGCTTTGTTGATGCCATGGTTATGATGGGTTGCGTTGTCATGAGCCTGTTCTTGGCTACGGTAAGTGGGATCACTTCGATACTCATGGTGGGTGTCATCATCATTCAAAATATCCAATTTTCTTTGGTATTGCTGGTTTTGAGTGCAATCATTCAAAGTTTGCCGGCCATGACCACTAGGTCATCCACGGGGCATTTTTGATGAAATCAACCTATCCAATGTCAAAATTTCTCTCTGTTGTGTGTCACCCAGGGTTGAATTTTTGTCGATGCATAACAAAAATTTCCCGTTTTTGTAAAAGTAATTGTGACTATCGTATCATCCAAAATTATTTTTTTATTTTGCACAAACAAAATAAATGTAAAAACAAAAAACATATATAATTTGGAAGTTAGTTTTAATATGAAATTATAACAACTAGTGCCATGTAGTTTCAAAAACGTGCAATGTTCACATTTCCAACTTCCCAACGAGCAATGCATTCCCAATTCTCACACTAGTGCCTGTTTGTACAAAGAGCATTGCCATTTTGTATTTTATTTTGACTCATTCTTGGTCCCTGAGTACCTACAAGTCTGTTTTTTTTTATGTGCACATGATTTGGGCACCTAATACTCTGTGCCAAATTGCAACTCCTGACATGTACTCCTTCATACTGCTAAGGTGGGCAACCGTTGATGGCACTGTAATTTTATAATCAAGACATAGTCTTGTCAAAAATATTTCAACATTATACAATAATATATTATTATAGAGAAGAACTGAATGAAATTTTCTATTTTATGTTTCATACTTTATATTCACATATTCATTTGAAATTTGATAATCACCATATTAATTAGAGTATGTTTGAAAATAATCATATTAAGTTTTAATTTTTTTTAATCAGCTGTAAAATTACTTTAAGTTTGCAAAATATATTACATTAAACAAGAAATACAAGCTAAATAATCTTTCTTCATCTGCTAATGATTTAATAGAAACATAAATGTTCATTAATAATGTATTTTATACAATAATTATTAAATTTTAAATTACACCAGACCATACAGAACAAATTTATATATACTAAAGTGTGTTTTATGTAACAATTCTATTAAATTTTGATAATAAACAAATTCAATAAGTGGTTATTCATGAAAAATATTAATGTTTTCTTAATTATCCCATTAAAAAAATTTAGATTATTTATGTAAATTTATGTATCCTTTTTCTAAAACAAATCAGTTTACTATTATTTTTCTATATAAAAAAATCATAATAATACTCACTCTTTTAATAAGAAATAATTACCAGCAAGAATTCTTCCACGAACTACTTCACTAAAACCTTCATGTCTACTAGCAGCATAAGAATCAGCCATGGAAGCATAATTCTTGGCTTTGTGTCCTATTATGTTTCAAAATAATATAATTTTTAAAATTTTTCCTCTTAATAAAAAACTATCAGAAAAGAATATATTTACTATAACAATTAATATTTTCTTAGCACTTCTAGAATGGAAAAAACTTTATTCTTACTTCTATCAACAAAATAATGTCATATATAGAATATCCTGCAGCTGCCAACCAGATTACCAATACACAGGTGAAACTGAAATAACCCTAAAAATCAGACTAAAAGAACATTCACGTGCTATTAAATTTAATTACACTAATTCTGCTGTAGCCATACATTGCAATAGTGAAGGTTGCGAGATCTCACTTAANAACTTTGCAAAGCAGGAAAATAACACGTGTGGCAGAACTAGCAGCCATATTTAAGATGAAGTTGATAGTATGTCTCCAGTAAATGAAATTTTCATTTTATTATGCAGTATTTACATATTTTATTTATTTTCATGTTTTAATTTATTATTAGGGCATTTAATTGTTATTTTTACCTTAAATTATGTGTGTTTGTTTTACACAATGATATGAGCAATCTCAGCACCACTAACTTCTGAATTTGTAGTCCTGTTACCAATTGGTTGGGCTGTTGACTTTCTTTAACATAGGAAGTAAAGGAAGTTCACTATCTATGTCTCTCTAATCTGTGGTTAGCTCTTGCCAAGTAGCTTGTTTAGCAACCATTGCAATTATGAGTTTGAAATTCTGTTTGTTAACCAACTTGTTTGAAAAGCGAGTCATTCGAAAACTGAGATTTGACTGTACCCAAAAGTTATATAATTCTTTTTCAAAAGTTTAGAAACTTTATCATTAAAAGTATAGTATTTACAAATGAAATACTATTTATACATACAGAAATCTAACTTTCTATTTATTTCCTTGATTAAACAAATAAGTTACAAAATGTGTTAAAAATTTTAATTTGAGAAATGTTTCTCAACAAAATAACAGATAATTTTTGGCGTCATACCTTGAAAGTTAATTTGATTTGTAATAAAAATATACAAAAATTCTCTGTAATTTTGATTAAAAATTTTAAATTCAAAATAGAGCTGAATAGAAGACTTGTTTATAAGTTGACTATACAAATGGCAGAAAATTAACAAGTGCAATGACTTTTGATAAATGAAAAAAATATATATCAAACTCCCCTAATAGTTCACATTTCTTGTTAGTTAACAGTTGTTTCAAGATAACAAATAATTAACAATGTATTTATAAAGTTTTATAGCAGTTATTTAATATATTAAAGATGAATAAACTAATAATTTGAAAATCAGATATAAAAAAACTAATACTTACCCAAAACATGTTCCTGTAGTTAATGCCACAGCACTTCCACCAGAGCTTCCTCCTGATATATACCAATCATTTTCAACTCCATATTTTTTGCAAAATGCAGTATTTAAATGTGTATCATTAATTGAATTTCTATGAATCAATTTGAACTTTAAACCTGAATAATATGGATTCTTTGTTGGGCCAAAAATGGAATCTATAGTACCAGAACTGATTACATATAGAAAATTTTTTAATAAAGAAAAATGTTAAATTATTATTATTATTATTATTGTTATTATTATTAATTATGAAAAATTAATTTTACTTTTATATATCATGAGATATGTATGATTTTACCCCATTGCAAATTCATCCATATTTGTTTTCCCAATAATAACAGCACCTTGATTACATAAACGTTGAATTACTGTTGCATTATAAGGAGATATATAATTTTTTAACATGTTTGATCCACAAGTTGTTCTAACTCCCATAATATTAAAATTATCTTTCACAGCTATGGGTATTCCATCCAACATACCAAGACGTTTTCCTTGAATAAAAAATAACAATAAATTTAACAATAATAATAATTACATAAACATTACAATTACAGTCTTGGTAGAAATGAGTCATAAAAAATTTGAATTAAGTGTATGATAAAAGTAATAATACACATTAATTCTCATTATTCAAAATTTTAAATTTAAAAATGCACTTTACATCAGGAATAAAAAAAATACTGTATTATAATAATGATTTTGTCATTTAAAAATTCATTTCTATAAAAGATAATCTTCAATAATCATTTTAATTGATTGAACTTAGAAGTTACTGTTAGGATAAATAAACACTGAAAGTTTCTAAAATTTGTCTAATAGTAGGAATGCAACTAGTATGTTCTAGATATGCAACAAATAGCAATTTCAGTAAAAATATTGAATATTCAATTAGTGTTGAATTTTTTGTAAATTTAATAAGGCAAATTATTATTTAAAATTGAAAATGTTTAATTATAATTGGATAAGAAATTGTATAATTAGTTTCTTTTATTCTGCCAATAAAATAGTTTTCAAACAAGCATTTTAGAAGTTTTAAATTTCATATAATCCTATTTTCTAATAATGAAAACTCTAAATGCCAAAATTTTAACTCTCTCTGTCCTAAGAGGGTGACAGAATTATTTCAAACTATATCTTGGTTAACTCTTACAACACCTCCTTTTCAAAAGTATAGAAAATTTGTCATTAAAAGTATGATATTGACATTTACAAATAAAATACTATGCATACAAAAATCTAACTTTCTATTTATTTCCTTGATTAACAAATAAATACATTATAAAATCCATCAAAATTTTTGATTCAAATATTTATTTTAATCACAAAAATATTCAATAGATGAAACATGCTTGTTTCATAAGTTTAGAAAGTAGCAATATCTATCTCATAAATTTTAAACATAGATAAAACACAGATTACTTTATGTACTTTGTTTAGTATTTTTGTGTTGAACACTTGCTATTGTTAAACAACAATTTCTAACAAGGGGAAAGAATTAAATATTTGAATAAAGGTGACTGAATAAATCAGTAGAAGATATCACTAAAAATTTAAACAGATCAAAATCAGCTGTTTTAAAATGTTTGAAACAAATACAAGAAGATAATGGAATCATCACAAACCTATCAGATAGGCCAAAAATAACAATCAAACATGCTATTAATGTATTAAAAAGGATTGTACTGGAGAAGAAATTTGTGTCAACAAAGCATGTCACTATACTAATGATATCCAGCACAAAATATACTAACTAAAAAATACTAAAACAAATGTTTTTGATGATTTTTAAATCATCATTACTTTAAAAACACATAGAACAATTATTTCATTAGTTGAAAAAATGCCGATATCAATAATGATGAAACCAAATGTTTTTTAAATAAAAAGATTTATAGTTATTCTTCAAAAATACATTTTCATGATTTGGAGATTGTTTCAGCATCTCTATAATTTATGGCCATGTTCCAAAAATTAGTTTTGTATATTTCAAGTATCTCTAGATCAAGGCTGCCCAAACCCAGGCCCGCCAATGCATTTGAATTTGCCCACCCATAGTAGCTGTCAGCTGTCACCATGCGTGATGTTGTGCTACCAATAATGCCAACCACCACATGATTGGTTGATTGGTCGAATGCGGAATGAACTGTGACTTGAGTCACCGCCACACTGCTGTTAATACCATGTTTCCCCGAAAATAAGACAGTGTCTTATATTAATGTTTGCTCTGAAAAATGCGCTAGGTCTTATTTTCAGGGAATGTCTTATTTTTTCAAGGAAGAAGAATTCACATTTATTATTGAACAAAAAAATTTCTAAGCCGAACTTAGACAAGAGTGACGTATATCAGGTGTGTCGAACTGTCGCCTTTTTATAGCGTCAACATCGGACTCGATGACCAATCAGTGCTTACTGAACCGTAGCACTATGCAAATGTCATGTGGCATGATTCCCGGCCGACCAATTAGCCATCACCAGCCGTAACGTTATGCAAATCTGTGATTCCCAAGCCATAGCCTTATGCAAATCATGCCGTGTGGCATAATTGTCTGCTGACCAATCAGTGGCTGTACTTTCAAAAAGCCAACGGCCACTTTTAACAATCTGTCGGTGACCTTTACGACTAAATAAACTTCGCTAGGTCTTACTTTCAGGGGAAGGTCTTATATTTCGCAATTCAGAAAAATCTGTGCTGTAGGTCTTATTTTCTGCGGATGTCTTATTTTTGGGGAAACACGGTACCTAACTTACCTGTTTTCTCCAACCACGTTACTTCCAAGGGCCTTTTGAGTATCTCGCAAGTGTTTATTACACTTGTTCTATTAGTTTTGAGTCAACTTTTGTGTATTAAAATTAAATTGTTGTCACCAAATATTGAAAAATTATTAGCTAATAAGCCCCTTCATAGGTCTCATTGATATATTTTTTATTAGGTATTATTAAAACATGTGCAACTTAAAGCATTGTTTGATTCAAATACCTATCCATTTATAGAATAATCATGAGTGTAAGCAAGTATGATTCACTAGATGGCCTGCCAACTGACATGTAATTGAAATTATAGCCCACCTCCTAAATGAATTGGGCAGCCCTGCTCTAGATGTTTCAGATTTATCCAGTTCCTACTAGAGATTTTCAAAATGTACAAAACTAATTTTTGGAACATGGCCATAAATTACAGAGATGCCAAAACATTTTCAAAGTAAGGAGATCTATTTTTGAAGTACAGTTATAAGTTAAATCTTTTTACTTAAAAACATTTGGTTTTGTCATTATTGCCATCAGTGTTTTTTCAACCAATGAAATAATTGTTTCATGCATTTTTAAAGTAATGTTCAACTTTTCATGTAGATGATCAACTGTTTTTAACCTGAAGATGATGACATTTCTTTTATTATTTTTTAGTTAGTTATATTATGTGCTGGATATTACTGGTACAGTAAAGTGCTTTACACTTAATTAAATTCAGTTTTTACATGTTACATAGTTATTATTTGTGTCAACAGTTCAATCATGACAAATTGGACTGAAAAAAGTAATAAAAACATAACAAAAACAAATATAACAACTATCTGGCATAGATTACAAGATTTATGATTCTATTTCAAAGTATTTCAAAGTACTTTAACTCTCATTTAACAAAAACAAAGAAGAGTTAGAAGTGGGAAAAGAAGCACCTCACTTAAGATTGGAAAAATGTGATTTGGAGTGATGAAGCAATGTTTTGTCTTAATTTTGGAGATCAAAGACCACATGTTATCAGAAGAAAAGGTGAAGAATTTTGGCCTGACTATATAAAGCAGTGTGTAAAGTTCCAACAAAGTCATAGGATGGGGATGTATCACTTCACAAAGACCAGGTGAACTCTGTCCTAACTGGAAAGGTTAATGCTGATATATGTATATTATTACTTGAGTATTTTTAATTCAAAAATTGAAATGTACAATTTTGATGATGTTCTTTTTCAACAAGATAACGCCTCTAACCACAAAACAAAATCAGTGATGAAATAGTTTCAACCTGATCAAAGTTCTTAAATGGCCACCTAACTTACCAGACAAACTGAATTAAAAATATTTGGGTAAGATGAAAAACAATTGCAAACAGCAAAACCATCTGATTAATGTGAACTTATACAAAAACTTAGAAAAATCCAGGTGCTGTTTCAGCTGAGAAGTGCAAGGAACTTATAGCAGCTATGCCAAAGATTGAAGGCAGTTATTCATTCAAAATGACAAACAATAAAGTACTGAATAATTTTTGTTACATTATTTCAACAATAAATATCTTTTGTTAGATAGTTTCTAAATTTCTGAAACAGATACTGCTGTTCTACTTTCTAAACTTATGAAATAAGTGTATTTCATCTAATGAATAAAATGAATGCTTTGAATCAAAACTTTTCATGTATTTTATAAATGATTTATTTGCTTAATCAATAAACAAATAAATGTGATAATTTAATCAATAAACAAATAGATTTCTTTATGCATAAATAAATAATTACTTGTAAATTTCAATATCACAATTTTAATAACAAACTTTATAAACTATTGAAAAGGAATTGTAATTATCTATTAACACACAGCTCAAAGCAGTTCCAGTATTTAAAGTTTAGAATTGGTTGTTTATGTATCATATTTTCTAATAAAAAATATAGTTTATTGATACAATTTGCATTCCATTTGAATAAACTTTATATAGTTTAAAAGCTATTACAAGTTTTCTTCACTTTTCAAGACATTTAATATGGAAAGTTTGATACATAATTTATTATATATTTTAATTTTCCTTTCATCATACATATATTTATTAACTTTCATATTATTTGTTAATTTTTAGAATTAATTCATATATAATAAAATATATAATATAATTACTTTTTTTATATCTTTCATCTGAATTTGTAGCTTGCTTTCTCGCTAATTCCTCGGTAATTGTTATAAATGCATTTAAACATTCCGTTTTCTTTACTCTTTCTAAACATAAATTTAATAATTCTGTTGACGTAAGTAAACCTGATTGCAGATGTTCTGAAATCTAAAAATAATGATAAAAAATCAAATCACTATTGAAATCATTGGATGATAATGTTTTTCAATCCAAATTTAACAGGAACAAATTTTTATGATTTTCACTTACAGATAATAGAAATTTTTATAAAATTTTATTCAAAAACTTCTAGTCTCTCACAAGTTAAAATGGAGAAATAACCTTTCACAATTATAACAGTTTTATTAGACTTGATTAAATTTATAGTATATAATTAAAAAGTTATTTATATTATAATATAATAGTGATTTATTCAACTTATCTAAGAAAATGCAGTAAATCAGTAATAACAGTAGGATCTTAAATTTTTATAAGATTTAATGATTTTATATAATGTTTTCATTTGACGATATATAAGAAGCAATCAAAACATAATTCAGTTTTATATTTTCATCATCTTAAAAAAAAATTATATGGGACATTATATGTGTAACACAAGAAAATACATATAAATTTTATAAATATTGAATTATTTTTCAAATTTTGTAGTAATATATATTAAAGTGAAAAATTTCACTTTAATATATATTACTACAAAAATGTTCAATATCCTAAATAGCAATACTGTATTTGAATGTACTAAGTAGCAATATTTTAACGAAATGCTGTATAACTAAGATATTAAATTTTTTATTTGTCCAAAAAACAATTTTCAGGAAAATACCATATTTACTCGCATGCAAGATAAAGTTTTTATTCATTTTTCACTGCTTCAAAAACCTAGGTCATCCTATACATGTGAGTGAAGGATTCTTAAAGTAATAAATAATTTGCATTAAATAATTTGCATTTTTGCAATAATTTTTGTTAACCATGTATTTGCATTTTTTACCAGATTCTCACCCTCATGTTTAAAAACAAAAGTACAGTGGGTGATCGGTTAACGAACACTTTCGCGAAAGATTTTTATAATCTGACAACGAACATGTGTTCGGATAACAAACACTTCACTGAACAAACACAAGAAGAAGCAACATAAAATAATGAATATCGATTGGTCTTCCTTTGTCTTCGGGCAACAATTCAAAATTTTTCAGACAGCATTAGATGTCGACATCAACGTTCTACTCAGTATAATCTGATCAGATAGTAGAACTTTGAAACTCTTCCTTGTAATTCCAGCCTTTTATATTTCTGATAGAAACAATTCTTTTACATTTTCTTCTGAAAATGCAGATTTATGCCGACATCTGCTATTAAAGATCCTTTGAAGAAGTAGGAGGATGTCAGAACAACGGTCTTAAAATGGCATCCAAACCAGGTTGAGATTAATAGGCCTAGGGATCTCTACAATTACAATGCTATTAATTACTTCTGAAAAATCATGAAGAAGACAGAAAAGCAATCAACATTGGACAGATTCTTTAACCCCCACAAACAGAAAAACATGACTAATAAAAATGCAAACCATGTATATATGTATTTTTATTATTACATATGAATAAACGTACTAAGAAAGTATATATTTTTTATTTTTTTGGGGTCTCCAGAACAAATTAATCAAATTTCCATAGAAACCTATGGTAAATCGGTAATTGGTTAACAAACAATTCAGATAGCGAACAAAGTCTTGGAACAGATTATGTTTGTTAACTGATAACCCACTGTATTTTATCTGGGTCACTTGAATCATCCTTGTCTTGTCAGGAGTAAAGATGAATGGCAATAGGAAAAGCAAAGCTTTTGAATCAAATTCCAATTCAAAATTCCAAAATCACATGGGAGCCCAATATAAGTTTAAATCCCTTCCCACACGAAAACAGATGATTATTCGAAATCAGAATTCAGAGGAACTCACAAGAGTAATCGATGGAGAGTGGATTTGACTGTTAAGAATTGGCAAAAAAGGTCCCCAATTGTTCGGCTTTACAAGAACAAATTATGTTGTCAATTTTACAAGATTTTTCCTTAAAGTTTAAAATGCCAGTAATTTTTGTGGGATAATGTGTGCATTTGACAAAATAAAATTAGAATTGTATTAATAAATCTAATTTTCTTTATTTGATCTTTAAAGTCACACCTTGTCCAATATGTGAGATTGTCTTATATGCAAGTAAATACAAATACAATAACATTGCAAATAATACAAATACACATAACATGGCAACTGTATCTATCCAAAGTTTTAATGTCAAATCTGATTTGTTACATTGGTAGGCTGTTTCTTATGCATCATCTAATGAAAACATATAAAACCATTAAATTTTATAAAAATGAAAATCCTACTGTTATTACTGATTTACTGCATTTTCTTAGATAATTTTAATAAATCTCTATTATATTATAATATAAATAACTTTTAAATTGTATACTATAAATTGTATTGACGTTTGAAGTACCCAAGGTTTATCCTTTATTGTATATACACTTATAGTATTTGATTATTCATTAAAAAATGAATTTAAAAAACAGTTAATATTTTATTTCGGAAAAATAAATATCGTAACTATAAAATATATATCTCTTCTGATGATTAGATGAGTGAGTGAGTTTTATTTTTCAAATCTAATGAAAAATGATACTTACCTCGATAATGCTACGAGTTAAAATTGATGTCATTTTGAATTAGCTTTTTTATACAGATTTAATCGAATTACAACTTTTAATATATTGTTATTGATAGATATCTGATTATGAATTTTCACACAAACTCATCTTTATACCAACTGAATCATTATATGGCATTATAATAAATGCGTCATATATTATTAATAAACTGTCAAACAGATAGTATAGTTTTTAATACTCTGTAGATGTATAAGCATGTGAAGACTGAGTTGGATAAACTATTTCATCAACATGGAATGAACTTCTGCAAAAACACGTGGTTACACAAACACATACAGTATAGCGCCATCTGCAGTAAACACTCATTAGTGCCAACATCGGACGGCCAAGCGGGTTTTTTTTTTAACTCTTTCCGCCCTGTGGGCACTAAGAAGGCCTCTTTTTAAGCAAGTCTATTATGGGTTCGGTCAGGCCCTCAATGGTGAGGAACGGGGGCTGACATATCCGGTCAGACCACCCCGAAAAATTCCTGGAGAATTTTCGACCCGTCCGGATTCGATCCCGGGTCTCCCAGAGTGGTAGGCTGTCACCTTAATCGCTCGACCGTCTATTTCTGATGAGTGGTGATGATGGGAAGGGGATTTGACGGTCGGATGGACGAGCGGTCAAGGTGGCAGCCTACCGTTCTTGGGGTCAAAAGTCTCCAAGAATTTTCTGGGATGGTCCGTCCGGATATGTTGGTCTCGTCCATCACCACTCGGCCGCCCCATTGTGGGCCTGGACGAACCCATAGTGGGCTTGCTAAAAAAAGGCCCTCTTAGTGCCCACAGGGCGGAAAGAGTTTAAACAAACAAGAAAAAAAAAATGGGGAAGGGAATGAAAAACGTAAAATTTTGCTGATATAATACTTGAGCGAATCTTTATAAAATCAAAGTAGGAAAGAAATAACACGGAAATACAATTGAAAATTGTAATAGTTGAAGTTTTTTAATATTTTTTTATCAACAATTATGTCAAATATAATTTTAAATATGAACTTTGTATTGAGAATAAGGCAAGATAGAAATAATACTGCAATGATACTGTGAATCCTAATGTATGAAATTTGATTTGTAATTCTTATCAAGTATTATATCGAATGTAATGTTAAATAGGAATTTTTTAAAGAATGGACCGAAGAAGAGCAGAAAAGCCCGAAATGTTTACTTAATTAGGAAATATTCCTATCAATTTTTAACTTAAAATTCTTTTTAAAAGTGAAAATTAAAAGTGAAAGTTAATTTATTTATTTATCTATTTATTCAATATTTAAAAAAAAAAAGAATTAAAATTCTTTCTTAAGTTTTGTTACCAGATGTCGCGACTACTATTTTCTACGCGGAATTATTTATCATATTCTTTCTTTACAATAATTGCATCTAGGCCGGTGGCTCATTTCTGAGTTGATTACCTGGTTGTTTAGTTTCTACCTTGATATTTGAAACAAATTATAAATTAATCAAGTTTCTTAAGGTAAGGACATTATATGCTGTTTTATTCACATTATTAAAGAAATATGTACGATACAGTACATGTGGGTAAGTAAGTGAATTGACACGTTTCAATATCCGCATGTTACTGTTATGATGCAACTTCTATCGGTTATGACAACGACTCGATGTTTAATCTTTGCTGAAACGAAAGTAAAACGCTAATACTTTGTATTGTATTTATATTTCATTTATTGTAAATTGGAGTGATTGAAATATTTTTTAAATTTAAGATGTAAAGTTATGCTCTTTAAAACAGATTTTCAAGAAATATATGTATAATAATAGTAACTGAAGATTCGTTGGTAATTTATTACAGGTGTAAATAATTTATCGCATGTATTAGCTGTTTAAAATTATTGCTACATAATTTGATTCCAAGCTGATTAATATTGTAATTAATGCTAATAATATAACTGGTTATTATATTGACATATGGTAAACATGAGAGTTTTAGATTGTCAAGAATTTCATTCTCTTATCCTATTTTTCTTTTCATTTTAATATATTTTTAACGTGTTATTGTTTTATTCAACAACAAATAATTGTACAAAATGTTAATTTGAGCTTTTATGGTGATAAAGTTACTAATTTTTAAAAGTAAATATAAGCTTTGATAGCATCCTGTTTAATTTCATCATTGTGTTTTGACTGATAATGAAATTTTACTATCAAAATAGTTGGTTAAATATTATATATTTACATTTAATGCTTAAACGAGAATTTTAATGTGAATTACTTAAGTTCATGTTTAAAATAAGTTTTGTATGTATTCAATTATAATGGAATATGTAAAATTTAATTAAATTTGTAACAGAATAAATTTCTTCGTGAAATAAATTCGGATATCTTTATATATGTAAAGCTAGGCTGTAGCCGTGCGAGGTGATGTTTCCCACAAATAACATTTTCTGCGGGCCTCCACTGCAGTCCCACTTCAGTTTAAACGTAAGCGGCATAAAAAAGAATGTCATAACCATTTGGCCATTGAATGAAACAAAAATAAGTATATTGCACAGAAATACTAGGCTATATGAATAACTATAAGACTGAACAAGTATTAAATTTTATTTTTCTTATTAAGCATTATCCTATAGCTATTTCGTTGGTTTCCATATGGTTTATATATGTCATACACAATAACGTGTTGCTAGTGATCATAAACTGTTACATAGAAATGCAATAGTTAATGATCACTAATCAAAAGTTGCTTACCATCAGCCTTGTGGATGATCCACACAGAAATTTCTGACTAAATACGTGATAAAATATAAGTTTACGAAAACAATTTAAATTTTATTAATAAAAAATTACCAATACTCTATATTGAAATAAATTCTGTTAGCACATGTAAGCAAATATATCATTAGGATGCTACATGAAATGTGTACAAATATGATATGAAAATTATTTGATTTCATATTTAAATTTTTAACAGACTGAAAAATAACAGATAACAAAATTATTATTTCAAAATGTTGTGTTTCAGTATTTTTTATCATTTAAAATGTGATGATGAAATTAAACTACATATCAGAATGTTTACTTTTAAAATTTAGTAACTTTATCAAAACTTCTACATAAAATTAAATGCTAACATATTTAATTTTAAAAATGTGATGAAAGAGATAATAAAATGAAACAGAAATTGAAATTATTTGAAAAAACTCGTACACTTATATTATAAGATTATCTTGCTTAAAATGTGTCAATATAGTAATAATTTCACTTTAAAACTTGTATATTCTATTATAAATAAGTTCTCTATTTCTGCAAATATTGATATCAGCATTATTTGATCCTTCATAACAAAATTAATGCTAGATAATTATTAGTGTGACATCTGCCATCAGATAGAAATCTCTAGTAACACTCCATGCATTAAAAAACATTTCATCCACATGAGAGCATTATTTGAGATTCTTAGATAATTATATTTTAGACTGAAAAATTGATTTGATATTTATAAAATGTTTACTAATATATTTGTGTTATACTCATGTAACATTTTTTATATATATATATATACCCCCACACACACAAACACACAATCATACATAAAACAGTAAAGTTCTTTATGATTAAAAATTTCCAACAGTCTATATCCAAAATTACAGGTAACAAGACAATTTATTTTAAAAATATATTTTGATTTAGATTGGTCTTCTTACAAACTATTTTATTTTTTGTGTTAATTTAATATCAAAAACAGTTCTTTCTGATTTATTTATTAAAATTTATTGTTGTTAATTATGCTTGATATTGCGGGAATTTTTTGAAGTACTGTTGTTTTAATTTAATATTTTATGTATGTATTAGGACAATTTATATACATAATTGATAATTAAAACTATTGTTTGATATTTAATTTATTGAATATGGTTTTAATAATAAAAACTAATAAATTTGGCTGACTTTGTAAATTTCTGTATTCAGAAAGTTAAAAATTTAGATATCTCAAAGTTACAGTAATTGACCTATTTTTCAAGAACATAAAAACAATGAATTGTCATCAAAAGAATGCTGCCAGAATTTTTATCGTAAAAAAAATTAAATTCTATACATTTTGAATACTTGTATATTAAAGAATATAAATTTATTACTTTTAAAACAATAATCTTTTAATAATTTAAATAAAGTTAATAACTCCAAAAATAAATACTGTACTCAGATTAAAACATTGCCCAAATTTATCTCAATATTTTTAATAATTTATTTTCAAAATATCATTTAGACTAATGGTTTTTTTAGGATTATAATAGGTTATAGAGAATTATTATAAGAAAACTATTTTGATCTATAAATCAATTTTTATTTAAATACTATTGTAAAAGTGTGTTATGTTATATGCAAGATTAAGAAATATAAATTTATTAATTTTATTAATGTAATTTTATTAAAAATGTATTTTTTATAATTATTTTTCTATTTAAAATTTTATTTACTTTATTATATACAAATAGGATTGTTTAATTTATCAACTTTGCAGTTGTGATATTTTTGGAGTTTAATTGCAATAAACTTCAAATTGTTATTTTAGTTTTAGTGTAAATTTTAAAAATTTAAAAATTTGATTATAAAAACTTAAAAGGTTTTATCATGATTTTATCATCATAATTATTTTCTCTAGATACAATTTTTCATGTGTAATTTGTATTTGTTGATGAAAACATATGAAATTTCAATAATATAATTAAAGTATATATTGCATATGATATAAAAATCTTTAATATAAAAGTGACATTGATTTAAAAACAATGGATGGAGAAATGCAATTCATTCAAATGTGTAATAGTTATAAATATAATAGATATTATAAGTAAAAAGATATTAAGGATTCTCACAAAAAAGTGTGACTTTTAAATTTATATACTGTAGAATTTAATAAACATAAGAATACATTCTGTAAAGTTAGCAAAAATTTTTATTGTGGTAACCCACAAAAGATTTTTAAAATTAACCTTAAAAAACCCTTTTTAAGAACTTTACTTATAAATGTGTGTGTGTATGTGTGTGTTCATAATAAAAACACATGATATTCTTATTTATTTTTATATTAAAATACACTCAAACTATCATTTGGTATTTTTTTTTCTTTAGAATTTTATTTCTATCTGCTATGTAACATTTCAGTTTTTCATAATCAATTAAAAATTGATAGTTATAATATTACTTTTAATATATTCTATAATATGATCATTTACATATTTTGAAGTTCATGACCTTCATTTAATGATAACTTAAACACCTTGACATTCAAGATGAATTTTCATTTTTCTGAATTGAATTAGTGAACTAGATTTCAGAGTTAAAATATATTAATAATGCATTAATTTAGACCTGCTATTCTTGAGACGTGTCAGAAAGATACAGTTACAAAACTTAAACAAATTTATGTCAAGGATAACTTCAATCTATGTTCTTAACACCAGGTTTTTCCAAGCCCAATTAGACAGGTGCATGTCAATGTACATTACTCAAGATAACAAATAACAATAATAACTCATTTAATATATTTTAAAAATTTTATATAAATTTTTTATATGTAAATGATAAAATTGAATGATTCATTGTATTAAAAAAAACAGCAGTAATAATTTTATTAGCTATATTTATTT